AGAAACAATGGAAAACCTCCAGGAGTCTACATCAGGATCTCAAGGTTTTTGCCCTGGATAGAAAGAACAATGAGACTCTTCAAACTGCTGAGACCAGACTGAGGCACCCCGGAATTGATCCATCCATCTTCTCTGGGGCACAGGCCAATACAGCATTGGGTTGAGAGGGTGGAGGGCACTCAGCACGATACTTAATAAACTTCATCTCTTGACTGAAAATCATCGATTCCTCCTTTATTCACCAAAACATTTATTAGTTACCTACTGTTGTGTCAGCAACCATATGTTCACAGTTCCAATCTCTTATATGCTCCCCCCTTCAGCGTAACTCATGTTCCATCTCTACAACAAAAATTTGTGCTGCATCGATACCAAACTCCTTCCAAATACACCTCCCCAGCGCAAGCTCTCCCTGCCAGGCTAAATGTAAGTTCCATCAGGAAAAAGTGACCCTCTTCTACACAGCCCTCTTGTCTCACTCATATTCCTCTCCTACTTCGTTCCACACCTACACCCTACCCCATTAGCAGAACCCAGGTCCAATATGCAGCATAAAAGAATCCAGAAACTGAAAGAAGGATGAGCTAAGAAGCTCTGGGGTAGGGAACCATTTCTCCACCACAACAGAAAAGGGTGGGAAGCTTTTGTATGGGTGTAATTTCACCCCATGAACCACTCCTTCCCCAAATCACAGCAGCTGAAATCCATAGAAGTTTCAGGAGGGCCCTTCAGTACGCCCAGGCCCAGCTCAAGTGCGTGTCACAGCCCTGTCTTGGGCCCAGAGCTCAGTGCAACCTCTGTGTCCTGGCAGCCCATCCTCCAGAAGCCCAAAATGACCTTGAGGGTGCTCTTCCATCTTGGTCTGAGCCAGCCTCTCCCTATGTCCCACTGTTCATCTGTGTGTGTGTGTGTGTGTGTGTGTGTGTGTGTGTGTGTGTGTGTGTATCTCCAAAGGAAACTCACTATAATGAAAAGTATTAGTCTCAGGGGTATTTTTCTGTTGTTTCAAAACTATTCTTGGGCCGGCCGAGTGGTGCGATGGTTAGGAACTGGCTTGGGATGTCAGAGAGCCCCGGTTCGGATCCCACGTATGAGGCCAGTGACACTGTCCTCCACAGCTAAGATGCTGAACAACAGCTCAACCTGGAGCTGGGCTGCTGTACGTCGCCAGCGATGGCGTAGGCTGCAGCCCCTGCTGCAGTGGGTTGCCATGGGCTACCGTGTGTAGCCAGCAGCCAACATGAGCGGCCAGCAGCCGCAGTGAGCGGTGGCCCAGAAGCCGGGACTGATCTGCCTCGCCCCGGAAGAGCGCAATGATGGTGCCAACTTGGGCCAGTGAAGCAACGTCCTCCACAACTAGACTGAAGAACAAAATTACAGCAACTTGTCTGTTCCCCTTCCCCCAATTCCCCAGCACTGTTCTCATCACCCCAATTCCCCAGTGAAAATAAAAAAATAAAATAAAAAATTTCTATAGCATAAAAACTATTCAGGAAATTTTTTCTTCTATTTTTCAACAATCTCTAAATGTTTCATAAGATTGCATTCAGAAAAGTAACCTCATTTTAAAACATCCACCTCGGAGAAGCTGGACTGAAAAAGCGTGGTTCACCGAATGTTGGCCATTGATGAGTATGCTTTGACTTGGGGAAAATGTATTTTGGGTATAAAAGTAACACTTATTCATCATAGAAGGATACTTAAGTACATAAATAAGAAAATGAAAACTACCGAGAGTTCCACCACCCAGAGATGATCACTGATGTTTAAGCATGTTACTTCCACTCTTTCTCTATGTTTCATAAGATGCCATTTCTTCAACAGAACTGGAGTTGGGCTGTTTCGAATCATCATGACTTCCTTTCCACTACCCTTTCTTCTGCTGTCACACTGCTAACAGATTTGGGGTAACATGTTTGCAACATATATAAGTGCTTGGCCCAAGGACATCAGGGACAGGATTCTCTGGACACTGGACAGACAAAGCTTAGTGAAGAGTAACTATTAGAATAGGCAGCATCCATTTTCCGTCGCCTGGCAAGAGTAACCAGCATTTCTTGAGGGGAAGTTGCCCACACAGAGGCTCTGTGATTCGGGTGGACACTCCCCTCCTTAGCCCACGGGATGCTAAATAATCAAAGCATGAACCGACCAGAATGATGACTTCTTATTATCCAGTGAATATCAACTCCAGGATGTGTTCAAAATTGTGCGGTAAGAAAAGCTCTAGTTTTCTCTGTCACAGCCTATTTATATTAAAAGAGGAGATCTAAATGTCCCAAAAATATGGGGCTGCTGTGTTGGTAAGATAGGAAATAGAGTGACCGTTTGGCATATTGGGGTGTGTCCAAGTCACCTGGGCCTCAGGTAAGTCCAGCCTCTATCTCACACCGCCTAGCAGAACCCACCCCATAGCCCTAAGCACCCCATCCTCTACCCACAGGATCTCCATCTACTCCAGCTGAGTGTCGGCTTCTGAACGGCAGGGCCATGTCACTCATACCACTAAGCACAGCTTGCTAAATAATTATTCATGATTTCATCAGAAAGGAAAAAAGCCAGGAGCCATGAATTGGAAAACTTCTTGATTTAATCACTAAGGGACTTCTGGGATTCCAGCCCCTCTGCTGGTTGTAGTCACGGCCTTCACTTTCTTATTTCTTCTTCTGACTTTTGCTCTGTGGCTGAGCAGTAGGAATAAATATGGTGACAGTACCATTCTCCCATAACCAAATAGAGAACTTTGACAAACCACCTTGTATAATGACACTCAGGAAAACTAAAGGAGCACGTGTTGAAGAGGTGTGTGAGTCACTGCCTATTCATGGGCTTTGTGTCTAGAAGGAAGAAACACCAGCAGCTCTGACCTGGGCAGACCTTCAGGGAAGATGCATCCACTCCTGCTTTTGTTGGCCTTTCTTCTGCCCGCTGGGGCCGGGATAGGTGAGTGACCATCCCATTCCTGAGGCCTGAGCCCATCTCATGAAACCCCCTGTACTCCTTGCCTTTTCATCCATCATGGCAGGGTTTGTCCTCCATTTGAACCCAGGAGCTTTCTGAACCCCAGCTCCCAACCCAACCCCAGACCAATAAGTCCCATGTAGATAAATACTCAACAAGGATGGCCAGGAAGAAGGGGTCCACTACAAGGTCTTAGCCTCTCTCTTATCACCTGGAAAGCAGGTTGTTCATAGGAAGGCATTTGGCAGAGAATGCGAAGCTACAAAAGACAAGTAATTAAAATCCCTCACTCCAACCCAGGAGAGAGCACCTCAGAGAAAACACCTCTGGTGTGAGAGCTGTCGCTGGACCACCGTAAGAACCAGTTCAGTTCTCAGTGCCCCCTAATCCCTACTCCTGCCCAGGAGAGGAGCCCAGGGTGCAATTGATCTCAGCACTGGCTAGCTGACCGCACACAAAGTTCACCAGTTGCTTTGGCTCTGCCCCAGGCCTGGACAGGCCATTTCAATCTCCCTTCCCCTGGCTTTCCCGGGACCTCAGCTGCTCCACTGTCTTTGGCAGTCCCCTCTCCCCATTCCTGTGGCTTTGAACTCTCCAGCCTAGTCCCCACCAATATCAGCCAGAAGCTAATTGGAGGCCATGCATGATGCAGTCAAAAAATGCCTACTGAGGGCCAGCCGAGTGGTGCGATGGTTAAGAGCTGGCTTGGGATGCCAGAGGGCCCCAGTTCGGATCCCACATATGAGGGCCAGTTACACTGCCAACTTGGGCCAGTGAAGCAACGTCCTCCACAACTAGACTGAAGAACAAAACAACAGCAACTTGTCTGTTCCCCTTCTCCAAGTCCCCAGCGCTGTTCCCATCCCCCCAATTCCCAATAAAAAAAAAATGCCTACTGAGAACCTAGATGTGCTAGGCCCAGGGACAGGAGTTCTGTGAATTCCAAATTCATAGCTCATGGTTGATCATGAGGAACAACACCCATCAGAAATTTCCCATAGGCTCACAGAGGTCAGGGAGACTCACTGTGTCCTGTCCACACTACTTGGGGCTCCAACATCTTTGAGATAGGCCTTACCTCCAACATACATGTATCTGTGCACGAGTTGGAGAACAAGCAATGCCCCCTCCCATTTCTCAAGGAGGATTCAGAGGTTGAGGTTCAGAAGAGGTGATTCTGCTGCAAGAGAACCTGAGAGTCCCTCCCCCACCCCTTGTCTTCAGGGCACACCTCAATCATCACCTCCTTAAGCCTTCCCTCCTACCACAGCCGCTCCCAGTCACCTACCTTCCAGCCTTTTCCTTCAGAGGAGACCATCGGGGGACATGAGGCCAAGCCCCCTTTCACCCCTACATGGCCTATATTCAGTTGCTTGATAAGGGAAAGAAGAGGTGTGGCAGTGTCCTGGTGTGAGAGAAATCTGTTCTGACAGCTGCTCACTGCAATGAAAGGTGAGAGGCAGCAGCCAGCCTACCCCTCCTTAGACCCCTACAGGGACCCCTGTCCTTTCCACAGGGGCTGCAGCCCAGGTGAGCTTCCCGGGCTCCTGGTAACTCAAACCTACAAGAGCTCATCAGAGGAGCCATCTGAGAGTGTGACTGGGCATGAAAAGCTGAGTAATAAGACAAGTAAATTGGGCTCAGAGAGTCAGAGGTGAGAACAAGTGTCACAGTTGAGAAGACAAAGACCACACTGGCCAAATCAAGCAAGGGCAGTAGATGCATTAGGGTCAAAATGCAAACTCAAGCAATGCCATGATATTGTATGAGGGCAAGAGAGAGTTCCCAGAAGCCCAACCCTCAGTGTCCTTGAGAGCAGAGAGGACAAAGTCACTCAGCTCCTGGCCCTCCTGTGGCCTCGATTTCCCATAAATGCAGCCCTGTTCTGCCTCAGCTGTCACCTGCTGTTCACAGCTCCTGGGCTGTATTTCCTGTGACTCCACGCCCCGCACACCCGCATTCTGCTCTCTGTGCAGATCAATCACAGTCACCCTGGGGGCCCACAACAAGGAGCAGGAGAAGACCCAGCGGGTCATCCAGGTGACAAAACGCATCCTCCAACCAGAATATAATCCAAAGAACTTCTCCAATGACATCATGTTACTGCAGGTAAGGAAACCTCCTGCTGCTCTTGCTCTCCTGGGTCCAGATTGTCTCTCCTCTCACTGTGACCCCTCCCTTCCTTCATTCCCATCCTGGTCATCTCACCAGTCCCAGTGCCTCAGGGGTGAGGAAGACAATGCAGCCCCATCATGGTATCCAGGCCCTGGGGTCACTGGCTGACCTGTGCTGCCTTGCCTCTTCCCATCAGCCGGGAAAAAATATCAAGCTGACTAGAGCTGTGAAGCCCCTTCACCTGCCCAGGGGCGGGGACTGGGTGAAGCCAGGACAGAAGTGCAATGTGGCCGGCTGGGTGCAGGTCACCCTGATGGGCACATACCCAGACAAACTGCAAAGGCTGGAGCTGACTGTACATGAGGATTGGGAGAGCGAAAACTACTTACAAAGTTATTATGACCATGCCATTCAATTGTGCTTGGGGAACATGACAGAAAAGAGGATTCCTTTCAGGTGAAACTGAGCTTGGTGAGCTTGGCTCTGGGACTTAGGTATTAGGGCAGAATGGGGACCTGAAAACCCAAGCAGTGGGGAACTCCTCCACCCCCTAGCCTGGGATCTTTCTCTCCAGGAAGACAATGAATAGGAGCCAGAGCTGGGGACAATTCGGGCCTCTGAGAACTTACCGAGGCCCATGGTCAATCTAGACATGGTCCTCCTCCACAAGGATGAATCTGCAACACTCTAGCCCACACAGAAGAACAGCGATAGAAAACTTCCCCCTTTGTGAGCAGTAGTTAAAACCAGGTGGCTCCTCAGAGCCAGCACTCTCCCTGCTTAACAGGCTCGTCCTCCATGCTAAGTTCAGCCACTGCCGCCTGCTTTCATGTCCTCACACTGTAGACTGGAGCCACAGTCCCACAGAACTTGTAGAGGAAGAGGATCCGGGACCTGGGGGAGGAGAGGGAGCTGCCAACTAAGGTGAAGTGAAGCCATGACAATGGCCAAGCTGACGGGCCAACGGTGGCCTGCCGCCCTCTGATCCCCCACATGGAGGCAACACAAGGTGGCATTCTCTGAGAGGGGCTGGGGATGGCAGGGAGGGCAGAACAAGAAGGAGGGCTGGCTCAATCCTCCCTCCTCTATGTCTGCAGGGGGCTTCCGGGGGTCCTCTCGTGTGTAACTGTGTGATCCAGGGCATTGTCTCCTATGGACGAAAAGATGGGACACCTCCACGGGCCTACACCAAAGTCTCAAGATTCCAGCCCTGAATAAAGAAAACCATGAAAGCCCAACTGCAGGAACCAGACTATCCTCTCAAGCTAATCCAGAATCACACTGAGGGGGTTGGCAGAGGGCTGGTGGTGCCAGCAACCTAAGAAATGTCTCTTAGCTGAGTGGGAAAAGCTGGATGCTTGTTGATTCACTAACCTTCATTCACAGGCACCAGCTCTATGTGTAGATGGCCATGGGAACAATTCTGTTTTTTTCTGCTTCCTCCTCTTCCCCATACCTCCATCACCTCCCCAAACCCTGTGCAAAGCTGTCACCCAGCTCCTTCTTACCCACACCTGTACCTTCAGGGCTGCCCTCTGCCAAGGCTGAAGCTGAGCCCCGTCAGGAGAACACATGAGTCTCTCAGGGGCTGGGCTCAGCGTGAACTTCTTACTGTCTTCCCATGTGTTACGTGGCAGAGAGGAAGGGGATAACATCCTGTGTGCCTGACACCAAGCAGGCACAGCCTGGGGCTGCAGCTCAGGGACATCGCCCACCTCACTGGGGAGGGGAAAGGCTCTCCTGAGCAGGACATTCTCTCCCACAGCCAGGGAAGCTGGCAGAGTTGAGGGGGTGGGGAATTGAGAAGCTCCTCATTCTCAAAGAGGCTGACTCTTTCTTTGCCCTACTCTGTCCTCCTCTGAGCTCAGGGCCTAGCTTGGCCTCCGGTCTCTGTTTGCCCCTTCTTCTCCATCACTGCTTATCACTGAGAGATCTCAGAGCCTAGCAGCTCCTGTCCCCTCCAGAACACAGATCTGAGGTGGCCACTACCTCATATCTCACCCACCTAGGACATTCAGAGCTCCGTGTGATTCCAGCAGGGCCTCGCCACGGAGATGTCCCCCAAGCTAATGCCCTGACACAGGGTGATCAGAGGGACCAGGCCTGTGCCTGCACCAAGCAGGTCCTCTGGAGGACAGGGCTGGCAGGATGTCCCTCCAGAACATTTACCCCCAACCCCACCTCGACAGGGCCAGCTCAACCCCTCATATCCATCCCAGTGGCCCCACATGTGCTCAGAATCTACTGCCTCCTGGTCACTTGGTAGCCTTAGTTCCTTTCCGTCTACTCCTGAGTCACTCCTGATCCAGGCTAAGACCCCCTCCTGGACACTTTGGGCTATCTCAGCATTTTGAGTTAGAAAGGGCTCCTCTCTGCAGTAGGACTGCAAAGCACAGTTTTTTCTATCAATCAACAAACAAATGTTGATTGAACACCTACTAAGGGCCAGGCATTGACGATGTACAGTGAGCATTATACATGCCCATGAAGGGTGCTGTTCAACTTTTGAATTTTTGGCCACCTGTGAGATGAGCTAAAGTGTCTCAGTAGAACTTTCATTTCCATTTCTCCATATTTATTTCCATTTCTCTTAATATGAGCGAAGTTGACACATTCTTCATTCTTTTTCAAATATATTTTACTGTGATTTATGCAGGTCTTTGCCGATTCTTCTGTCAACTTTTTGGTATTTTTCTTCTGGATTCTCAGAGTTCTTTCTATAATAGATAGATTCCCTCTTTAATTGTGATACATGTTGCAATGATTTATTTCCAAATTTGCCTTCTGTATTTTGAGTTTGCTTACGCTGCTTTTTGACATTTGAACTTTTAAAGGTGATTTTGAACTTATCAAAATTTATATCAATCTATTCTTTTAATGTTTCTCGATTTAGAGTAATTGCTAGAAAGGATTTCCCCCTTCTGAGTTTATAAAAGAATTTACTCATGTTTATTTCTCGTGCGCTCACAGTTTTCTTTTGTGTATTTGAGTCTCTTATCCATTTCGAGTTTATTCTGGTGGTTTATGTGAAATATGACCCCAACTTAATATCTTAAAAAAGGACCATCTAGTTGTTGCAGTACCACTTTTGAGAAAGTCTACTTCCCAATGATTTGAAAAACCTTCTTATCATAAACTACATGTCCTGATGTGAAATGTTTCTGGGCTTTCTATTCTGTTTCATTGGTCTTTTGTTTACTCGTGAGTCACCACCATGCTATTTTCAGAAAAGAAGTTTTATATGGTGTGTTTAATATGAGATAAGGCTAACCCTCTCCCTTACTGTTCTTTTTTCTTTGTGTCATAATTTTTTTTGCTACTCTTGCATGCTTATTTTCCACATAAATTTTAGAATTGTCTAGAATTTGTATAATACTAGGAAAATAAACTGTATTTTCTAGTTCACTTATTTTTATTGAAATCACATTATGTATATATTAGCTTGGTACCAGGATTTCAGAAATATAGTATTTCTCTGGACAGTGGTCTGAAAAAAATGCTTTGGCTTCCTGGCATCATTCCCACCTCACATGGTATCACTAATTCACTAAAGATAGTAACCTTGGGAGTGGTTGGTAACCTCAGTTGGTTAAAGCGCAGTGCTCATAACTCCAAGGTTGCTGGTTCGATCTCTGCATGGGCCACTTTGCTTCACCCTCCATAACTAGATTGAAACATGTACCAAAAATAATATGGTAGGATGCGCTTTGCTCAGACTATCACTTTGTATCTCCCTTCCCACAGGCTCTTCTTACATGACTATAGCACTTCTTTCTTTTTAAATCTGGGTAAGGGCTTTTGATTGCCCCAAGCAGTGGAAAGTGGTACAATGGATACCATATGACATGAAAGTCTAGGTAAGAAAAAGAATACAGCTTCTGCCCAGATCAATTTTTCAGAGATGCTCACTCTGCAGAAGTCCACCATCATGTTGCAAGACCAAACAATCCTGTGCAGAGACCACAGAGAGGAACTGATGCCCAGTGAGCAGCAGCACCTACCCCTGGGCATGTGTCAGTCATCCTTCAGTTGATCCCAGGTTCCAGGCTTCAAGCCTCCCATCACATCAAGGGGAGCAAAGGGAAGTTTCCACCCTAATCCTTACCAAAATGCAGATTCATGAGAAAAATTAATTTTGTTGTTGTTATTTGAAACAACTCAGTTCTTTCAAAACTCCAGTAAGCCCTCTTCAACATTACTGAACACCATTCTACCCATCCATATAACCATGGCCCCCACCATCTCTATCTGGTTTTGTCTCCACCAGAAGCAAGAAATCTCATGTCCAATAGCCCTGAGTCTAACAAAAAGGGGCTCAATAAACAGTCTAGAGAAACCAAGGAAATGAGGAGTTCTTGCATGCATCTTTATGAGATTCAGGTTTCTGGGGCTCAGGAACATACTACTGGCTAATATAGCATTTTCCAACACCCCAACTTGCTACTAGTGATTCATGCTTTTACCTGGTGTGGTCAGCACTGAGTCAGAGCTATAGGTGCTTATGTGGTTAAAGATAAGTTTTTACTCCACTCAGTCCAGAAGACTTGCTTAGACTGCTGTGTCCGGCACCCAAGGAGAGCCTTACGTGATAAACGCCACAACACCAGAGAGCCCTGAGTTTAGAAGACCAAGAAGAAGCACCCGCAACTCTGACCTGGACCGCCTTCCCAAGAAGATGCAGCCACTTCTGCTCTTGATGGCCTTCCTTCTGTCCCCCAGGGCGGAGGCAGGTGAGTGACCATCCTCCTCCAACAGACACCCAACCGCACCCCACACTGACACAACATATTCAGATGCTACACAACACATCCTGGACCTGGTCCATCCTCAGGAACTTTCTAACTCTAGGTTCAGCCTCCCTAAAGACCAGCCTATTAGAGCTGAATAAACACTCCACGGGAATGGCAGGGCTGAAGCCTGTTCTCCAGGAGGGTCCAGAGGGCACTGTGCCCTTCCCAGGTCCTACCCTTCTCATCTAGAACGTGGGTTCTTTACAAACCCGTCTGGAAGCAGGTTGGACGCTGGGAATGAGGAATAGTTAATTCCCCAGGGAAGGGCAGCTTGGAAAAGGGCTGGCTTCTGTAATGAAAATAAGTCCTTCTCACATTCTAACTCAATGTCTTAAAACCTACCCTCACTCTCCTCCCCTTTCTCCAAGGTTTGTCATTTCTATGTTACCCAGGAAAGAAGCTGAGGACACAGTTGATCCCAGAGTTGGTGGCATCCTTGTCCCCTTAACACTTGTGATTGGCTGGTTCAGTCTCAAGTTCTCTCTGGTCATTTTCTCAGTCACAATGTTCTGAGGATTACAAACCATCAGCTGCTCAGTGAGTCTGGGAAACAAGAATGGAGAAAGGACCAGGGAACGTCAGGGAAAGGAAGTGCCAGGATGTACAGGGCCTTCGCTGCTTGTTCCAAACACAAATCCTGTCGGCCCACACACATATCTGCAGCTGCAATTAAGGAATAAAGATCTGCTCTTCTCAGGCTGGCTGAGTGGTGCATTGGATAAGAGCTGGCATGGGGTGCCAGCTCTGAGCAGCAGGGCCCCAGTTGGATCCCACATGAAGGCCAGTGTCACTGCTCTCTACAGCTAAGATGGTGAACAACAGCTCTACCTGGAGCTGGGCTGCTGTGAGTTGCCAGCAACGGCATAGGCTGCAGCCCCTGCCGCAGTGAGCTGCCATAAGCTACCGTATGTGGCTGGCAGCCATCGTGAGCGGCTGGCAGCTGGTGTGAGCTGCCAAAGAGCCGCAGTGAGCGCGGTCCAGAGGCTGGCGACCGATCTGCCTCATCTGGGAAGAGCGCAATGATAATACCAACATGGGCCAGTGAAGCAACGTCCTCCACAACTAGACTGAAGAACAACAACAACAAAAAAGACAGCAACTTGTCTGTTCCCCTCCCCTAATAAAAATTAAAAAAAAAAACTGCTCTTCGCTTTGTCACAGGGACAATCTGACTCTTTGGGTCACTGGGTAGGCCAGGAATGTTGCCTCAGGGACCTGCAGGACCTTCTTGGTCATTGCTGACTACTACAAACCCCACCATCTGAAACCCCACACCTCCCTGCGCTGCTTCAGTTTATCCCAGTCCCCGTTACGCCAGCCCTTGGCTCCATGAGCACAACAAGCAGGGTAGAATTTTTCTTTCAGGGGAGGTCATCGGGGGCCATGAGTCCAAGCCTCACTCTCGTCCCTACATGGCACATTTTGGGAACTGTGGTGGTTTCCTTGTGCGTGAGGACTTCGTGCTGACAGCAGCTCACTGCTGGAGAAGGTGAGAAGTAGCGTCTGGGACCCACCCCTTCTGTAGACACCTGGCAGGGAGCCCTCATCTTAGGGGCTGTAGAATTCAGCCACCTAGTAACACAGAGCAACTCTTCCAAAGACAGGTAAGTTTTCGGGAGAGAGGGTCAGGTCAATGCAAGTGGCCTGTTGAAGAGAGAGGGGACTGACCAGTGGTGGCACAGGAAGGAGTCTGAGGATGTGCCCTGGAGCCCATCGTGCAAATGTGAGATCATCACAGCTTTGCTTAGAGACAGGCAAGCTCAGCACAGTAACGCCTGCTCCATGAACTGCCACTGAGCCTGAACTGCCAAGAAGCAGGGGGCACACACATGCTCAGCCCCAGGGACCCTATCATTCCTCTCCACTGCAGTCCTGCCATGTCCGCACCTGTCCTCTTTCTTTCACAGCCCCTGGGCTGTATCTCTTGTGACTACATCACCCTCTCTGGTCTCTGCAGCTCAATTACTGTCACCCTGGGAGCCCACAACATCAAGCAGAAAGAGGAGACCCAGCAGGAAATCCTGGTGAAAAGAGCCATACGCCACCCAGACTATAATAATCCTCCGCACTGGAACGACATCATGTTACTGCAGGTAGGGCTCCACTGGCTCTTGGACACTTTAATCCCAGGGTTTTCTGTCTGCATGACCTCTGTCCCATACTCCTTCCCAGGATGGTCCTTTGACTTGTCCCAGGGCCATTAAGATTGTAACCACAGGACTGACCCTGCAGGCTGTGTGCCACGGGTAGATTAGAATTCCTGTCTTCTGCCTTCAGCTGGAGAAGAAGGCCAAACTGACTGCCGCCGTGAGCCTCATCAATCTGCCCTCAATGAGAGACAAGGTGAAACCAGGGATGGTGTGCAGTGTGGCCGGATGGGGGCGCCTGGCTATAAACACCAGAGGTGATGGAAAACTGCACGAAGTAGAGATTGAAATACAGAGCAACAAAAAATGCATTTCTCACTACAAACATTACAACAACATCATCCAGATATGTGTGGGGGACCCGAAAAAGATTCAGACTACTTTTAAGATAAGATCCCAGAATGGTCCATACCCAGCACAGTCGAGCTTTGAGGAGACCCAGGGCTGTGGCAACCACTCATATGGCTATGTCCTCAGACATTCCACTGATCCAGTCTCTGGTGCTGTCTCTCTGGAGGGAATGAGAGACTGACCCTCAGCCACATATGGACAGAAGCTTTATGCACAAGGGAGAAGGGAACCATCAGAGCCAGGCTAAAACCCTTGGAATTGAGGAGGCAACAAGGCCTTCCCTGGCACTGCTCTCCCATGCTGTGCCCTAACAGAGACCACCCATCTCTGGGGGAAAGGAGGGCAGGACCAGGAGGAGGTCCAATTCAGTCCCTCATCTCTCTGCCCACAGGGGGATTCCGGGGGCCCCCTCATATGTAACAACATGGCCCAAGGCATTGTCTCCTACGGAAACACCAGTGCAAAACCTCCAAGAGTCTACACCAGGATCTCGAAGTTTTTGCCCTGGATAAAAAGAACAATGAGACGCTTCAAACTGCTGAGATCACAGTGAGCCACCCTGGAATTGATCCGTCCATCTTCTCTGAGGCAAAGGCCAATACTGCATTGGGCTGAGAGGGTATAGGCTATTCAGCAAGATACTTAATAAACTTCATCTCTTGACTGAAAATCATCGATTCCTCCTTTATTCACCAAAACATTTATTAATTACCTACTGTTGTGTCCAGCAACCATATGTTCAAATTTCCGATCTCTTATATGCTTCCCCCTTCAGCATAACTAATGTTTCATCTCTACAACAAAAATTTGTGCTGCATCGATACCAAACTCCTTCCAAATACACCTCCCAGCACCAGCTCTCCCTGCCAGGCTAAATGTAAGTTCCATCAGGAAAAAGTGACCCTCTTCTACACAACCCTCTTATCCCACTCATATTCCTCTCCTACTTCGTTCCACACCTACACCCTACCCCATTAGCAGAACCCAGGACCAATATGCAGCATAAAAGAATCCAGAAACTGAAAGAAGGATGAGCTAGAAGCTCTGGGGTAGGGAACCATTTCTCCGCAAGAACAGAAAGGGGTGGGAAGCTTTTGTACGGGTGTAATTTCACCCCACGAATCACTCTTTCCCCAATTCACAGCACCTTGTAAGCCTGAGAAGTTTCAGGAGGGCCCTTCAGTACGCCCAGCCCCAGCTCAAGTGCGTGTCACAGCCCTGTCTTGGGCCCAGAGCTCAGTGGAACCTCTGTGTCCTGGCAGCCCATCCTCCTGAAGCCCAAAATGACCTTGCGGGTGCTCTTTCATCTTCACCTGTGCCAGCCTCTCCTTAGCTCCCACTGTTCTTGTGTGTGTGTGTGTGTCTGTGTGTCTGTGTGTCTGTGTGTGTGTGTGTGTGTGTGTTTGTGTGTGTGTGTGTGTGTCTCCAAAGGCAACTCACTATAATGAAAGGTATTACTTTCAAGGGTATTTTTCTATTGTTTCAAAAGTTAATTCTCTATTAAGAGAATTTTTTCTTCTATTTTTCAACAATCTCTAAATCTTTCATAAGATTGCATTCAGAAAAGTAACCTCATTTTAAAACATCCACCTTAGAGAAGGCTGGACTGAAACAGAGTGGTTCGCTGAATGTTGGCCATTGATAAGTACACTACAATCAGGGAAAATGTATGTTGGGTATAAGAGCAATACTTATTCATCCTAGAAAGATACTTAAATACATAAATAAGAAAATGAAAACTACCAAGAATTCCACCATCCAGGAATGATCACTGATGCTTAAGCATGTTACTTCCATTCTTTCTCTAATTTCATAAGATGCTGTTCCTTGAACAACACTGGGATTCGACTGTTTATAACCATCATGTTTTCCTTTAAATCTCCTTTCTTCTGCTGTCACACTGCTGACAGAGTTGGGATAATTTGTTCACAACATATATAACTGCTTGGCCCAAGGACATCAGAGACTGGGTTCTCTGGACACTGGACAGAGAAAACTTAGTGGAGAACTGTTAGGATAGTCGCCATCCATTTCCCCATTGCCTGACAAGAGTAACTAGCATTTCCTGAGGGGAATTGACCACACAGAAGCTCTATGATTTGGGTGGGACACTCCCCTCCTTAGCCCAAGGGGTGCTAAGTCACCAAAGCATAAACGAATCAGGCCACTCAACTCCAACTGGTTGAATGATGACTTGTTTCCATCCAATGAATATCAACTCCAGGACTTGTGTTCAAAATTGTGGGGTAAGAAAGCTCGAGCTTTCTCTGTCACAGAATATTTCTATTTAAAGAGGGAATCTAAATGTCCCAAAAATATGAGGCTGCACTGCTGGTACGATAAGAAATGGAGTGATCATTTGGCATATTATGGTTTGTCCAGGAATACCTGAACCTCAGGCAAGTTCAGCCTCTATCTCACCATCAAGCAGATCCCTCACCATAGCCCATAGCACCCCGTCCTCTACCCACAGGTTCTCCGTCTATTCCAGCAAACCTTCGGCTTCTGAACGGCAGGGCCATTCACTCATACCACTAAACATAGATTGCTAAATAATTATTCATGATTTCATCACAAAGGAAAACCAGCCAGGAAACATGAAATGGAAACATCCTTGATTTAATCACTGAGGGACTTCTGGGGTTCCAGACCCTCTGCTGGCTGTAGCCACAACCTTCACTTCCTTATTCCTTCTTCTGGCTTTTGCCCTATGGCTGAGCAGTCTGAGTAAAAATGTGGTGACAGTGCCATTCTCACCTAACCAAACCAGGGAACTTCCACAAACCACCTTGTATGATGACATCCAGGAAAACTAAAGGAACACGTGTTTAGGATGTGTGTGTGTCAGTGAGCAATACTTCCTGTGATCCCTTCAGGGTCTATGTGTCTGCAAAGAAGACACTCCAGCAGCTCTGACCTGGGCAGACCTTCAGGGAAGATGCATCCACTCCTGCTCTTGTTGGCCTTGCTTCTGCCCGCTGGGGCCTGGAGGGGTGAGTAACCATCCCATTCCTGGGGCCTGAGCCTGTCTCCTAAAACCCCTTCTACTCCTGGCCTTTTAATCGAACCCAAACAGGGATTGTCCTCCATTTGAACCCAGGAGCTTTCTGAACACCAGCTTCCAACCCAACTCCAGACCAATAAGTCCCATGTAGATAGCTAGTCAACAAGGATGGCCGGGAAGAAGCATTAAACTATAAGGTCTTAGCCTCTCTCTCATCACCTGGAAAGGAGGTTGTTCATGGAAAGGCATTTGGAAAAAGATGTGAAGCTACAACAGACACGTAGTTAAAATCCTTCACTCCAACCCAGATTGGGCCACTCAGACAAACCGTGTGCAGTAGTGAGAGTTGTCTTGGACCAGCTTAAGAACCAGTTTAGTTCTCAGTGCCCTCCACCCTCCTGTCCTCCCAGGAGAGAAGCCCAGGGTGCAACCGATCTCAGCACTGGCTAGATGACTGCACACAAATTTCACTGGGTGTCTTGGCTCTGCCCCAGGCCTCGGCAACCATTTGCATCCCCGCACTCCCCTGATTTCTCAGGCCCTTGGCCTCTCCACTGCTTTTGGCAGTGCCCTCTTCCCATCCCTGTGGCTTTGAATCCCACCAGCCTTGTCCCCACCAATCCTCAGCCAGAAGCTAATAGGAGGCCATTAATTGATGCAGTCAAAAAATGCCTACTGAGAACCTAGATATGTTACGTCGTGGAACAGGAGGATTTGAACTTCCTAATCCATACCTCATTTTAGATTATTAGAAAACAGCACCAATTTGGGTTTTACCAGGGGTTTGGAGTGATCAAAGAGGCTCACTGCATCCTGTCCACATTACCTGGAGCTCCACCACCTTCAAGATAGGTTTCACCTCCTCCATTCATGTGTCTACATATGACTTGGAGAACGAGCACTGCCCCGTCCCCTTCTTCAAGGGGGATTCGAAGGTTTGAGGTTCAGAGAAGGTGATTCTGCTACAAGAGAACCTGAGAGGCCCTCCCTCATTGTCTTCAGGGCACACCTCAATCATCGCCTCCCTCAGCCTTCCCTCCTACCACAGCGGCTCCCAGTCACCCACCTTCCAGCCTTTTCCTTCAAGGAAATCATCAGAGGATTGAGGCCAAGCCCCACTCCCGCCCCTACATGGCCTACATTCAGTTCCTGGATAAGAGAAAGAAGAGGTGCGGAGGTGTTCTTATGCAGGAGAACTTTGTTCTGACAGCTGCTCACTGCAGTGGAAGGTGAGGGGCAGCAGCCAGTCTACCTCCCAGGAACACCTACTGGGACAGTTGTTATTTCCCCAGTGGCTACAGCTCAGGTGAGCTCCTCGGGCTCCTGGTAATTCAACCCCACAAAAGCTCATCAGAGGAGGAGTCTGAGGGAGTGACCAGGCGATGAAAAGCTCAGCAATAGGACACGTAAGCTGGGTTCAGAGGGTCGGAGGTGAGAATAAGTGGCACAGTTGAGAAGGCAAGGAGCACACTGGCCAAATCAAGCAGGTGTAGTAGATGCATTAGGGCCAAAATGCAAACTCAAGCAATGCCATGACACTGCATGAGGGCAGGAGAGAGTTTCCAGAAGCCCTACCCTCAGTGTCCTTGAGAAGCAGAGAAGGCAGAGTCACTCAGCCCTTAGCCCTCCTGTGGCCTCGATTTCCCCTAACTGCAGCCCTGACCCACATCAGCTGTCACCTGCCTTTCACACCACATGGGCTGTATCCCACAACCCCCACTCCCACATTCTGCTCTCTGTACAGCTCAGTCATGGTCACAAGTGGAGCGGGGCACAACATCTTGGAACAGGAGAAGACCCAGCAGATCTGTGTGGTGACAAGAACCATCCCCCACCCAGACTATAATCCCAAGAACTTCTCCAATGGCATCATGTTACTGCAGGTAAGGAAACTTCCAGCTGCTCTTGCTCTCCTGGGCCCAGATTGTTTCTCCTCCCACTGGGACCTCTCCCTTCCTTTTTTCTCATACTGGTCACCAGACCAATCCCAGTGCCTCAGGGGGAGGAAGCAAGACAATGCAGCCCATCGTGGAGTCCAGGCCCTGGGGTCAATGGCTGACCTGGGCTGCCTTGTCTGTTCCCATCAGCTAGAGAGGAACATCAAGTTGACTAGAACTGAAGCCCCTCCGCCTCTCCAGAGGCTAGGACTGGGTGAGAGAAGGACAGAAGTGCAATGTGGCTGGCTGGGGGCACGTCTCCCCAATGGGCACATACTCAGACAAAATACAGGATGTGGAGCTGACCATGCTAGAGCATCAGGAGTGCGAAAACTGCTCTCAAAATTATTATGACCGTGCCATTCAACTGTGTGTGGAGAACATGACAGAGAAGAAGGCTTCATTTCAGGTGAAACTGAGGTTGGCTAGCTTGATTCTGGAAAGAAGGGTGTTGGGGAAGGACAGGGACCTGGAGACCCAAGCAGTGAGGAACTCTCCCACCCTCTAGCCTGGAATCTTTCTCCCTGGGAAGACAATAAAGAGCAACCAGAGCTGGGGAGAAATAGAACCTCTGAGAATTTACCGAGGCCC